CCCCAAAACCCCAAAACCCCAAAACCCCAAAACCCCAAAACCCCAGACCTGATTTAAAGCTTAAAATTATTAATAGTCTATAAGTTTAATAAAATGGAAAGCTATTACGATTGTAATCACCAAAAGTCTCCAGTGTAAGCCTTACTTTTCTTTCATGAGACTCTTTTCTTTCTCCTTTCTGGATGGATACCTCAAATACTTTATGTGAAAGTCCTGTCTTAAAGTCCATATCAAAGAGGTTTTAAGCAACTAAATATGTTAATTGTAGGAAACTGGATTCTATCAAGATGCAAACAGCTAAATGTATCAGCGCACCTCTACAAAAGAAGAAGTTCAGCTTGGCAAAGGTATAGTTCTTTCTAAACACTTACATCTCTTTTACATAGAGTTAGCTTATCAGAGAACCTTTTGCGGTTCCTTTTACTAATTAATTTACTTACAAAGAGTTTGACATCACCAAGTTACCCAGATGTGTAGCTTTTTCCACTAAATCTCAATTTAGTAATGATCAACTTCAAACCTTTATGGTTACACAAAATGAAACTATTTTTAGCTGTTTTGTTCCAATTGGGAGTTTATTAGGGGAGCAACCGGCAGTAAGCCAATACTGCATCTAAAATTCTAATCTTAATCCATGGCTTAAGAAGTGTTTTTATTAATGTCTTCTTCAAGTTCTAATTTTAGTATTGTCATATAGCCTCTCCCAAAATTAAAAATAGGACGAAAGCTTAATTTTACTCCCAAAGCTGCAGAGAAGCTGAAGAAGATCATCCTGAAGGTAAGCCTTGGTTTGGTCACTTTGGGCTCATGCCCTTCTTTCTTTACACAATGATGAGAAGAATTTATTCATTCTGATTACCTGAAGTCAGCAAAAATAATAGGAATCTAGTCACAATTAGTAAAATATATATCTATTAATTTTCTAAGGTGATCTTGCTAATTTCGATGCCTTTTCAGGAAGATTTTCATCACTCTCACACTTTTTTGGGAGTAAAATAAAATTTAGATTCATGTACATACTCCATCTTTAATAGTATCTCTAGAAAAACATTTAATTTGCCTATCTACAGTTGAGTATCGGAGCTTAGCATAGGCCAATTAGCACTATTACACTAGGTTTCAGGTCCATATAAATTAGAGCTTTATAATATCAGCCAGTAATGCACAGGAAAACTGCATTATTTTCATAAAATCTTGGATGTAGCTAAATTATTGATTGTATTTTATTGGGGAAGATGGCAATTAAAGTATCAGCGATATCTTACATTTTGATAGAAATCTAAAAACAAGATTCCAAGGAGGAGGAATGTGGATAGGAACTGAACACTAAAGTACTGCTAATTTCTAACCTCTAGAATGCCTCTTACTAAATTTAACAGATCAAGAAGGTTTATTTCACCCCAGCCACGCAGGAACGCACTGAAATATATAGATAAAATATCTAAAGCTAGGTACGTTTAAAGTGATGAATTCTTCAGAATCCTTAGTCCAAATCAAAGAAAAATCTTCACCTTCCCTCAAAATTCGAAATTTATGAAGAAAAGGAAGGATAGAGCTACTCACATCGAGCAGAAGCTACATGCACAGAATTATGAGGAACTGGATACGTCAAAAATGTGTTTCAATGTAAGAAAAAACACGGTCTTCCAGAAGTTCAACCACAGTCCGCTATATAAATCGAAAGGTATGAATTTTCTATTCTTTCTAGATCTCTGGTCGGTATTCTTGAATTTTCGAAGAAAAGAGTACCTCCCAAGGACGCCCATACGTTAGCCATGGAGTGTCTACTTTAGTACATATATTATTAACTTTTGTCCCAAATTTTGTAAAATAAGCTGGCTTACATATTTTAATAGGAAATGACAGATATAATCGAAGCGTGAATATCGGAGGTTATGAGGTATATGACTCAGAGACTGAACAGGGAAACCCTGACCTTCTATTTGACTCAATTTGTTAACTTATAATTTGTCCTAAAACTACCAACAAACCTAATTCTTCTTCCTATAACTTCCCCGCCTGGGGCTATTACAATAAAGTGGTGCTTATGCTTAGAGGAGATGGGTGAATTTTGGAAATTGTGAGGGAGCAGGATGGGGTGGAGGGAGGAAGAGTATCCAGTCTGGCAAATTTTATCATCAATTTTAGTAGTCAAAGTTAAGGATTGTTGATATATTTTAGTCCAACGAAGGTCTGATATTATAGAGAGTTTTGGCAGGATTTTTTAAGCTTCTAGTTTGGCATGATTCACATTGAAAATCTTCTGATAAAAAGCTCTATTTCAATGAAGTTGATAGAATAATTTTTAAAGAAGAGAGGTTTCCCATAGATGTCTACTAGTTATACCAACTTAACTTTAGAATTGCCGAAAAGATAAGAGTCGGTTAGAGCTGAGGAGTTACGTCCCAGGCGTAATTGTTCAATCAGGGCAATTAATTTTGGGGTTTTGGGGTTTTGGGGTTTTGGGGTTTTGGGG